TGAATATGTTGACAATATTATATGTTATTATATATAAGTATGAGATAAAAATGAAAATTAAATATATATGTTATAGATAAAAAAAAAAATGAAAAAAAAAAAAAGAGAAAAACAAAATAAGAAAAAAGTAGAGGAAGGGGGGGGGGGGGGGGGGGGGGTGAGGGTGGGGACTAAGGGAGACATGGCCTCCTGTTTTATACATAACATGAAGGGCTTTGAAATTCTGACTTAAGAGAGGTCCCCCTCTTCCACCCATCTCTCATCTATATCTGAGGCCCTGTTAAGGTAAAGTACTGACAAGTGACATGGGCTTGAAATGGTGACTTAAAACAAGATGAAATGGTGACAACCGACATAAAAATGAGACAAGAACATGGCCAACTCTTCAAAACACAAAACGACTGCATTTGAAATTCAGACCAGGGATGAATGTAGTTCCCCCTCCCCCCAACTCAAAGGGCCTCATCTATGGCTATACTTGTTCAAGGTTGCCCAGTGCACCAAGAACAAATGCCATTTCCTGCCTCTGTAGTTACCAGAAAAAAGGGCTTCTTCAACTGACCCTGGGAAACCCTTTATTATTGCACTGGAACATACAATCCTGAAACTGCAATCATTTACAAAAGTGTTGGGAAGGTTTCTACTTTTCACCTTTTTTTAATCCTTTTTCCCCACCAACACTTAAGTACATGTGCATGTCATGCAGATCATGTGATGATACTCTAGAGAAAGTGTGTCTCTATTTGCATGCATATTTACCCGTCATTTAATGAAAAGAAAAAGGGTTTAATTCCCCTGGAATCTTAATTGGGAAACAAAACATACAAGCTAAACAAGTCTAAATTGTTCCATGTCTTGACTTCTATTATTCAGCTGTATCATTCAACATTAATTAGGGAGGCCAGTGGGTATTTTTAGCACAAGGGAAAACCATCGTTTTTGAACATTAAAATGAACTGCTGTTCCTGTCCGGGACTGTAGCCTTGAGTACCATTTTACGGTCTCCATTCCATATGAAATATAACCGTGATCAGGCGGTCCTTCTTTCCTTTTTCTTTGCCCATCCGCTGTCTTCATATCAGCACTCCCGAGAAAGAAAAGAACGCCTGATCGCAAAAAAAATACTGAAGTCACTTCCACATGCGGATGTCACCATTTTAAATGAAAATCGCATCCATCTTAATTCACTTTGAAATTTTTACCATTGGATGTTTTTAGCCCTTTGATAAACCAGTGCATAAACAAGTCGTAATATTGAAAATTGCCGGGTAAACGAACCTACACTGAAGGGAAGGCCGCTTGACACATTTTAGAAAGAATTCAAGATTGTCTTATAACGGTAATTAAGACTAACACAAAACAGTTTACTTTTCACCTACCCACGCAAGCTGCTAATCACCACAATACTGGCAAAAAAATGAGGATACCGTCAACGCGGCAAAATGTTTATCTTACAAGATTTTTTCTTCATTTCGTCAGCGTTTCTGCCGAAAAGTAGAGCCGACTGCATATATGAATCGCGAGAAGCTAGGCAAGCAACCACGCCATTTTGAAAACCGAGAAGCCCCTGGGAACAAGGTTGGGGAGAAGCAGAGTAGGAGGAGGAGGGGCTGTCTGGCGCGAAAACTACAAACAACAACAACAACAACGTTTATTTTGTACTGTATGAGAGTAAAGAAATACATAGAATAGAATTTTAAAAATACAGATAGCCAAAATACATAGCCACTCATACAAACCAGGAGCCCTAACAAACAAGAAAAGTTTATTGGCCAACCGCAAAAAATTCTTTTTATTGTAAATGCAAGATATTCATGCAGCAAGACCCTTTTTTATCCTACTGGTATTCCGATTGAGCATATTCCAATTTTATCATCATCATGACCTTATTAAAGTATCAATATAGTATTTAGCAGAGGGTTAATTGGGGACACTGAAATAAAACTAATTCTAAAATAACAATACACAATCCGAAAGAAACTAGCCTAGATGTACATTATACACTATAAAACTATACTGTAAATTACAATATTTCTTAAAAATACCTAATACAAAATAAATTCTTAGGGGCTCGTCACGCGCTCCTTCGTGGGGCAGGAACGCGTGACGAACCCCTAAGAACGTCTGCGTCGGAGGCTACTTCGCGCCTCGTTGACGCGGCTTCGCCGCGAACCATCAGTATCGATAAGAAAAAAATATCCTCTGGAACCCAGGGTAGCTTTATGCACATTTAGCTCCAAACCAAATCATCGCCGACACGTCTTCTACGGCATGACTAAGGGTTGATTTCTATTGTCGCGTAATTTTTACCTGCTTAAAACTTAAGTCCACAAATAAAATGGAGGCAAGGCAGGAAAAGTCGTCCTAAGCGTAAAAGTTGAAACTTCCTTTAATTTCTCGTTTAAGCTCAGCACTTTTTATCTTTCCTCTATTTTACCATAAATAAATTACCACAGGTCTTTGTAGCCTGACGCTCCCCCTCTCCGTTTTTCCTTCGTTGGGGGGAGGGTGCGGTTACACGTAGGCTCAGGTATTTGGTGAAGTCTTTAATTCCACTTGGAAATTCTGAAAGGGACAAACAGTTAAATAGCAACTGAAAAAATGCTATTATCCACAATAAAAAAAAGAAGAATTATAACAATTTCATAGAGTACTTTTCAGAGAAAGCTTTGTATTTGCACTGCCAGCCTTGTTCTTACCGCGAGGCTCGCCGTGCAAATACAAAGCTTTTTCAATCTCCTGGGAAAAAATGGCTGACACGTGACATAGGTCTATTGCATCTATGATCTCGTCCAGTAAACTTAGTAACTTCCCATTCTTTGGAAAGGCTTTCGGTAAAAAAAGGCACTCTGCTCAGGAACTCTTAGTAAAATTTTGTACCCTGTATTATAGACTCAAGACCTAGAGCTTTTGAACCTTAGCTGTAAAAACCCACTTAGGCCAAATAAGTAATTGTCCCGCGCCCTAGATCTGAGTGTAAACGCTGAAAGGAATCTAGTATCAGAAGCTTCCGGGGGAAAAATTGACTGTGGTATAAATTTAGCCTTAGGGCGCGTTCCATTTGTCAGAACTGAGCGGCCAGGGCATTCCCATCGTAATGAGAATTTCATTTTTTATCAAAGCTATTCAGCCAGATCAGTCAAATCCTAAATAC